AAGCAGACATGCTCAGATATCCTTCAAAAATGCAGAAGAATGCCTTCTGAAAATGCATTTATTTAACTGAAAAATAAAAACGAGAAACAAATTTTACCTTTACAATCACACCTAAGAATAAACGTAAGAAGAGGTACTAAAGCACTCCTCAGAACAGCAAACATAGACTGGAATTACAGAAGACCTAAGTACATGTGGAAAGATGATGACTATGGATTGAACACTCAGTCCCATATAGGTGCCAATTCTCCCAATTTTTCTGTAAATCCTATGCAATCCTAATCAAATTCTTCCTAGGTTTGGGTGTAGGTTATGAATATGACTTTACAATCTGATACTAAAACTTAAATAGACAAAGAGTTAAAAATAGCTAAGACATTCTTGAAAAACAGAAAGTAGGAGGGCTTCCCCAACTAAACAGCAAGATACGTTATAAAATCATCATAATTAATCGAGTGAGGTGTTAAAGCAGGCAAAGACAAATTCATCAATGGAACAGACTACCGGTGCCAAAAATGGACCCTTAAAGTTATGGAAATAACTAAATCTGGTAAACAGAGTTTACCCTGCTTTGCGTGTAGGAGCTATACTTTAAGGTAACCATATAGATAACGGGGGCACATTTCCATTTACAGAAGAATTCCAGTTATTATCTGTACAAGAAATGGTAGAATCTGAACTATCACCATAACACAGTGACTGGGGAAACCACAAATCTTTGCAAACAGTCACCATTGGGTGCTGAACTCTGAGGTGAAAGGTGAGGAATCAGACTGACGGCACCTGGAACTGTGCGGAAGTTGTAAAGATAACGTGTGTCTTTCGATGGGAGGCAACATACAGCACAGCCAGCCCCTCTGAGGAGGCACCACTGCCAGTGACACAATCTACATCTGACAAAGCCCCTCATTCTAACTACTAGGGAGTGGAATACCCAGAGTTCAGAATGTGTGAAACTTAAGCGCAAGTAACTTGGTCTCTTCAACAAATAAACAGGAAAAGAAGAGAGAAAGAGAGAGGGAGAAAGAGAGAGGGAGAGAGAGTAGAGAAAGAGAAAGGGAGAGAGAGGGAGAGAGAGACAAGGAGTCTGTCTAGAATTTTAAAAGAGACTTAAGTGATTTCTCAATTAAATGCAAGGTATGGGTACTAGTTGGCTACTGATTCAAATAAATCAACTGCTGACCACCATCACCACAAGAAAACATCTGTGAAACTACAGATGAATTTGACTGTGACTAGTTATCTAAACACACTAAGGAATTGTGAAATTTTTTGGTGTGATATTAGTACTATGGTTATTGTTTAAACAATTTTTTAAAATGTTTATTTATTTTCAAGAGAGAGAGAGACAGACAGAGAGGGCAAGCAGAGGAGGGGCAGAGAGGGAGGGAGACATAGAATCTGAAGCAGCTCCAGGCTCTCAGCTGTCAGCACAGAGCCCAAAGTGGGGCTCGAACTCACGAACTGTGAGATCATGACCTGAGCCAAAGTTGGGCACTTAACTTACTGAGCCACCCAGGTACCCCTAGTACTATGGTTATTGTTAAGGAATCCTTTGAATAGGTGTATGCTGAAATTATTTATATATGGAATAAGATATGATATCTGGACTTACTTTAAAATCCAGTAGAGCAAGGTTAGGAAAGGTTGGGGTACAGATGAACCAAGATTAGATAACTGTAGAGGGTGGTGCGTACATGTGTGTGTTCATTATATACTACACTCATTACTTTTCTATGTCTAAAAAATAAAAAAATTAAAAGACAATGAAGAAGACACCAACTACACAATATACAATTATGTATATACAATATAAAGATATACAGTATCTTTACTGTATATATACGTATATATGCACATACATATATGTATACATGTATATACAGTATATAAAACAAGGATTAATATTCAGAATTGTTATAAAACTACAAATCAAAAGAAAAGGATAGATAATCTAATCTCAGAAAACAAAAAAGAAATGGATGGAACTTCACAAAAGAAGAAATACACACAGCTAAAATGAATGAATAAAAAATGAACAATCAAGTAAGATGTTCAACATGATTACTAATAAGAGAGAGGTAATTAAAATACAAGTCACAGCACAGAATGTAACCAGCAAAGCATTAAAGGGCCTTCAGAAATCCAGCACCGCTGAGGAGCTAGAGTGACGAGAGCTCACATACACTGCTGGTGGGGATGAAAATTAGTACAAAAACCAGAGAAAACAATTTCCAATATTATCTTCAAACTGTATCTAGTTTGCCCTCCTAGGGCAAGATGTGCATGGAAGTGTTCACATCCTAGGACTCAGCGAGCCCAGTCTTAGGTGTACAGAGAAAACCTTTCACATGAGTACTAGGAAGACATGTACAAGAAAGTACAAGATTAATAAACTGAAGCAAGTAACACCGTAGCCACACATGACAGATGCATATCAAAACTTAAATCAAGCGAAAGAAACAAATACAAGCTTATGATTCTATTGCATAAAGTTTCAAAACAAGGAAAATCTAAACAAAATATTGTTTACAAATATAGACGTAGGTGGTACGCAGTAAAGAACAGCAGTTAATATCAAGTCAGGAAGAAGTCAGTATGAGGGCAGGAACGACGATTTTATTGCGGAGGGTCCACAGAGGGTTTTGAAGAGCCGGTAATCTTGTTTCTTCCTGCATGGTGGGTGCTCACTGTGTTGTTATGCTTTAGAAAGAGGCGGCATGGGGTGCCTGGGTGGCTCAGTCGTTTGAGTGACTGACTTGGCTCAGCGCATGATCTCACGGCTCCTGGGTTGGGGCCCCGCTCCTGGAGCCTGCTTCCGATTCTGTGTCTCCCTTTCTCTCCCCCTCCCCTGCTCATGTTCTCTGTGTGTGTCTCTCTCTCTCAAAAATAAACATTAAAAATGTTTTTAAAATAATTTTTTTAAAAAAAGGAAGAGGCAGCATGGTGAAGAGATGAATGTGCATATTCAACCAGACTGACTGGGTTGGGGAGAGAATTAAGTGAGCTGATATATAAAGCAGTGCCAGGCACTCAGTCACTCAGGTGTCCCCTGCCTTTCGAAAATTCATCTTATGCCACTTCGGTTTTACACAGGACCTACATAAGCCCCCGTCTTTGCTAACTGAAAGACATTTAAAGAGGATTTGTGCTTTTACAAAAGAGGCGGAAGTGAACACTGCCCTCCCAGGAGCTGCACAACCCCAGCACCAAGAGCGGCCCGTCATGCTCCTCCCCCAGGGACCGCACTCTGTGTCGAGCCGCCGTCGCTCTGAACTGCATCTGTGAGCACCTGTGCTTCATCTCGATGTATTTTGTGCATCTGTTAGCAACACTTGTTTAAGGTATCAGAAAAACCTAAGAGACGATATCTTCTGGGTCTGGGAATACTAAACATTTTTCCATATCAATTAATGATATTTGCCTCTCTGTCTACACCATTTCAGCTCATGAAAGGTGTCCTAAGAACGAGGAATGTTCTGCTTTTGGGTGATGGAGGAGACCCGTGTAGGTGTTAGTTATTAAATAAACTGTACGTGTGTGTTCATTTTACAATTTAAAACTGAGAAACAAAGAAAATGATAAAAATCTTGAGTTGAAACTAACCAAAAGAATCCATATTCTCTCTGCGCTGCTGAGCACTGAGTCAGCAGGCTGCCAATGGCATCTGAGTACTCAGACAGGGCAAAGGACCCTTGTAGCAGGAGTCTTCTCTGCAGTGAGCTGTGAGGCACTTCCAAGGTGGTTTTCTCTTGTTTGGGAAGAGCATTTTGGAAAGAATCCAGAACAACTCCTTTTTTAATTTAAATAAAAACTGTATAATATTGTGTGCTATTTCATTGCAATAAGTAAGCTTTCAAAAACACAAAAGAAAGGTTTAGATTTATGCCCTAGTGCTTCCCTGAAGAAGCAGAAAGCTTTCCAAAACATTTAGCAAAATAAAACTATTCTTTTTTTAAGAAAAAATTTTATAGTTTATTGTCAAGTTGGTTTCCATATAACACCCAGTGCTCATTCCAACAAGTGCCCTCCTCCATGCCCATCTCCCATTTTCCCCTCTCCCCTACCCCCATCAACCATAATAAAACAATTCTTTAAAAAAATTTTTTTTAATGTTTTTTATTTATTTCTGAGAGAGAGAGAGAGAGAGAAAGAAAGAGAGAGAGTGAGCACGAGCAGGAGACAGTCAGAGAGAGAGGGAGACACAGATTCTGAAAACAGGCTCCAGGCTCTGAGCTGTCAGCCCAGAACCCGACGTGGGGCTCAAACCCACAAACTGTGAGATCATGACCTGAGCCGAAGTCCGATGCTTAACGGACTTTTCAGGCACCCCTGAAAACCATTCTTAATGAAGTGAGGTGTAAAACTGAGAATGGAAAATTATAAGATTATTCAAAGATCACGATTACCTCATGATCATGAGTTTACATAGTTGTATGTAACTATGCAAGCACTCAAGTTCATTTCTAAAATCCTCTGTAAGTACTGTGTATTATTTCAATCAAGAGAATATTTCCAAATCATCCTTTCCTACCTTGAGCATAAGAATTTTTATAAAATTATTTTCTCCCTAAATTTGGGCTTAAAATTAGTAATTACAGCATTATTGTAATAGTGAAAAACAGAAGCATCTAAAGGATATAACTGTATCAATATGAGCACATGCAGCAGGCTACATAAATGTCTACATACATACAGAAGAGTCTGGAAAAATACACATAAACTGCTACTTGTCGGTTCCACCTGGATGGTGTAGAATAAAGTGGGAACCTGCAGTTCCACTTCTACATTATAGCAGTTTGATTTTTTTTTTTAACAACGAATACGCATTATTTATGTTTTAGATTACTAGCATGCTTTCCCTAAAACTAGCTGTTACTGGTGAATTACAAAGGTAAAATATATTCATGGTGAAGAACAGATGAGCAAAGACAAAAATAAAAATCATCCCTTCATCAGCAATAAGAGACAGGCATGGATAACATGACAGACATTCATACCTTTGCAGGGTGTACCCACAGTTGTTGCATATACATTCTTTTCATATTTCTTCAAACGGTCTTCTAGATTGTGAATCTAAAAGTAACAAATACCCAAATTGTATCATAAGATTCATACGGAAACCATATGTAAAAAAAAAGGTCTGCTGTAGGCACTAGATTCTTTAATAGTTAAGATAGAATAGAGGCACAAATACAATTAATACAAATGGTTTCTTAGATATGACACCAAAAGCACAAATACAAAAGAGAAAATACACAAAATGATCTTTATCAAAAGTAAAACTTTTGTGCCTCAACGGACATTATCAAGAAAGTCAAAAGAGAACCCACAAATGGAGAAAATACTTGCAAATCACATACCTGATAAGGAAATCGTATCCAGAATAAAGACTACAACTGAACAAGAAACCAAATACCCCAACTAAAAAATGAGCAAAGGACTTGAATAGACATTGCTCCAAATAAGACATACAAATGGCCAACAAGCAGGTAATAAGATGTTCAACATCATTAGTCATTAGGAAAATGCAACTTGAAATCGTAATGAGAAACCACTTCATGCCAACTACCATTGCTATATTCAAAAATATTATTGGCGAGGATGTGAAACAATTGGAGTCCTTTTAACTTTGGTGCCACCACGTAAAATAGTTTGGTGGTTCAACAAAAAGCAAAACATATAATTACCATATGATCTAGCAATTCCACTCCCGGGTGTATACACCCCAAAGAACTGTAAATAGGAACTTAAACCAAAACTTGTACATAATGTTCCTGAGAGCAGTACTTATAATAGCCAAAAGGTAGAAACACCCCAAAGCTCATCAACTGATAAAAAGATACACAAAGTATGGTGCATGCATATAATGAAATAGTATTCAGTCATAAAAAGGCATAAGTACTGATACATGCCACAATGATGAATCTTAAAAACATCATGCTAAGTAAAAGAAGCCAGATAAGAAAGGCTTAGGTTTTATATGATTATATTTATGTAAGATACTCGTAACAGGCAAATCCACAGACCCAGGAGTAGATCAGCGGTTGCCAAGAGGTAACAAGGAGTGACTGCTTAATGAGTATGAGGGTTCCTGATGGGGTGATGAAGTATTCTGGAACTAGATATGGTGATGGTGTCACAACACTGTGAATGAACTAAATGTCAGTGAACTGTGTACTTTAAACTAGTTATAATGGTCAATGTTACTTTACGTGTATTCTGCCACCAAAGAAATAACTAATACAAAAGCTGCCATGCTAGCATAGTTAGAAGATTTGAGGATGCTAAAAGAGGGGAATTTTAAAGCAGTAACCTTGAGAATAGACGAGAAAAGATAAGCCACTGGGAAGTAGGAAAAAATAAAGTAGCATTGGCATTTAGCATCTATAAATTTTTTTTAATATTGTGAAAATTTTGTATCATACTCAACCACAGAGTATGCCCATATACCCATCCATCACCTAGTTTCAACAATTACCAAAATTTCTGTATGTATGACTTTTTAAGAAAACTGGAAAATCCCCGGAGATGTAGCCTTCAAACAGCCTGCTGACTTGGGTCATTCTCTCTCTGGAGTTTGGAAATAAAGACTGCTGAAGGTGATGATGCACCACACATACACGTACGCTGGTATTTTCATACTGCGCATCCTTCTAGGCATATATATATAACTCTTTCTGAATCTAATCATTGGACAAGATATGGACAAAACTTACTAACTTAAGCCAACTTAACCACTAGGAAAAAGTAGTAAAAATTGATGTCAATGTATTTTCTCTCTGATAAAAGCAAGAATGTTCCTTTTTTAAACTTTTCTTTAATGTCTGTTTATTTTTGAGACAGAGAGAAAGAGAGAGACAGAATGTGAGTGTGGGAGGGGCAGAGAGAGAGGGACACACAGAATCCAAAGCAGGCTCCAGACTTTGAGCCATCAGCACAGAGCCAGATGCAGGGCCTGAGCTCACAGACTGCAAGATTATGACCTGAGCCAAAGTCGGATGTTTAACTGAGTGAGCCACCCAGGTGCCTCAGAAAATTCCTTTTTTTAAACTTAAATTATTACAAATTAAACAAAAATTCTTATCCAAGATGTTTAGCACTAGAAAGAATAAGATGCAAATGTTCTTGTTTAAATATATGTGATCAATCACAAATTTAAGAGATATCCTCTAGCACCTTCAGATTTGGAAATAAAATTTTCTGTACAAGACAAAATTGCAAAGCCAACTATTAAATGAGTATTATATCAGCTCTTTTTTAAAAATTAGCTTAATGAGATCCAAGTACAGACTAACATAAATTAAGGCAGTCAGTTCAAAATAAAAGGCACCAATTAAACCTGTACCTGTTCTCTGAACTCTTGCTCTTTCAACTTTGAATCACTGATTAGTGTAGTCTTCTGTGCTAGTTGTGTCTGAAAGAACAAAGTCAGATCTGAAGCACATAAGAATTTCATCACTGCCTGAACATACTACTATAATTGCTTTGTAAAATTTTCCTTGTTAAAACAGATACCTTTATGTTTTAACTTAAAACACAAAATACTCCTGAAAATATACTTCCTTTAGTCAAATTCAATGAAGAACCCGTCTTACCTGTAACTCCATAATTGTTACCTGAAAATGGAAAAGAAAATATGAGTGCATACTACACTAAAATCTGTAGGGAACAATAAAATAGAATAATATGAAATAACAAGAAAATAAAAACTTAGTGTTAGAGTCTTAAGAAAGTGATAAGATTTGAGATGAGGCTCCTTTAAATATTTGCTTTTAACCTGGTCTATTTGGTTATACAAACTATTATAGTGTAAATATATACAACATAGGTAAATGCAAAGTCACTCACCAAACTCCTAACAATGATTACTACTTGGCAAGGAGAGGTGGCCACCAGAGAGGGTTTATTCTATGTACTTATGTATTATCTGACTCTTTTATAACAAGAATATATTCATTTATTATTTCTATAATTAAAAAAATTAAACATATTAACATCTATTTAAAGCATATCAGCCCCTTAGGGAAACTTCTAAAGGACTGTTTCTGGGAATCCACTCTAAGCTATAATCACAAATTATTTTTCATTGAACTCAACACTGATACATAATTCACTGTATCCCAGAAGCATCAAAGATGCTCAAGAGGGAGGCCTGGGTGGCTTAGTCGGTTAAGCATCTGACTTTCGCTTAGGTCATGATCTCGCGGTTCGTGGGTTCGAGCCCCGCGTCAGGCTCTGTGCTGGCTGCCAGCTCAGAGCCTGGAGCCTGTTTCGGTCTGTGACTCCCTCTCTCTCTGACCATCCCCTGCTCATGCTGTCTCTCTCTCTCCTGGAAATAAAACATTAAAAAAAAAAAAAAAGATGCTCAAGAAAGAAAAGGAAAAAATTTTACGAAGAATAAAACAGAAAACACTTTTTTGAGTAGAAATAATAATTAAAGTTTTTTTTTTAATGTTTATTTAGTTTTCAGAGAGAGAGCAGGGGAGGGGCGGAGAGAGAGAGACAGAAGAGCTAAAGTGGCTCTGCACTGACAGCACAGCGCCCGATGCAGGACTAGAAGTCACAAACCGCGAGATCACGACCTGGGCCAAAGTCAGATGCTTAACCAGCTGAGCCACCCAAGCATTCCAAGTTTTCTCTCCTTTTTTTTGATGCAAGGTAAAGGGCTCAGAAGGCCTTCTGAATATTAATTAATTTTATGTTTCAATACTGGATGGCATCCTGACACAGGCCAAAATAACACCATATGCAACAACATTTACTCTGATACTAAGGAAAAGAACATGTAGTGAAGTACATGTACTCGTCACATAGGAATTAATGCTTAATAGCACCTGATATATTCAAATCATGACCAGATGGCAAAAACCAAAAACAGGAAAACTAACTTGTAACTATTAAAGAAATACAGAAATAGTCCATGAAGCTTGCTGGGTGCTAAAAGCTAAGATACACGTACCAAGTAGCGCAGCACAGCAGAGCACCTTATAAAGGCTGCTTCTCTCCACCTTGTAAAAGTGATGCATGGAATTTGTTGTCTAGAAAATTGCTCTCTGGTAACTGACATTCTCTGTAACTCTCAATGATGAAGTCCACTTACCTTCCCAAGGCCCTGACGACAATGTTGTGAAAAGACTGTATCAGGTGAGGGAGGGCACTTTAGGAAGCAGGACAGTACCCTGCCCGGCTTCTCTAACTGGGGGCCACAGGCCCTATCAGTGTGCATTTGCTGGGGTGCAGAGTGGGAAAGGCAGCCACATGGCAAACACGGCCTATCTTTCACAGCACCAATTATATGACTGGAATTATAAAAATGCCTAGATATGTATTGCCAGATGTCTTTGAATTCAGTCCCATTTTCCAAAATAATCCCATTACATTTGCATCTAGTCCATTAACCAAGGAGAAAAATAGAAATTGTTCTTCTTACTGATATATAACCAGAAATATTTTATGTGACTATAAATAAGGGTATATTATAGAGAATATAAAATCTACATGAATATTTAGCACAAAATATAAATATTTAAAATTATCATATTTTCACTGTGCCTGAATGACTCAGTTGGTTGAACGTGCAATTTTGGCTTAGGACATGATCTCAAGCTTGTGAGTTCGAGCCCCGTGTCAGACTCTGCTGACAGCTCAGAGCCTGGAGCCTGCTTCAGATTCTGTGTCTCCGTCTCCCTCTGACCCTCCCCCGCTCATGCTCTGTCTGTCTCTCTCTCTCACTCTCTCTCAATAATAAACACATTAAAAAATTTTTTTTAATTATCATATTTTCTATGGACACTTTGCTTATGGCCCTGGGCTATGAGGTTCACCATCCTCTGTATTCTTTCTTAGGAAAAGACTAAGAAGCATTGGCATAATGGAAATGTCCAGGCTCGGGGCGTTGGGGTGGCTCAGTCGGTTGAGCATCTGACTCTTTATTTTGGCTCAGGTCAGGATCTCACGGTTCAGAAGATCGAGCCCTGTGTCAGTGTGGAGCCTATCTGGGATTCTCTCTCTGCCTCTCTCTGCCCCGTCCCACTCTGTGCATATACACACTTTCTCTAAATAAATAAACAAACATTAAAACAAAAAAGAAATGTCTAGGCTCTGAAGTCTGGCAGATGGGGTTTAAATTCCCAACACAACATTTACCATGTGAGCTTAGACACTTTATTTTAACCTTCTATGAATTTCAGTTTCACTGCCTATAAAACAGAGGCAAAAATCTCTTCTGAAAGGTTTTGGGTAGGATGAAATGCGTTAGGTTATGCATGTTAACAGGCAAGTCAAACAACAGAAATGACAGTGTTTTTAAGAAACAGCAGCAAAGTGCAGTTCCTCTTACTTTATCATTGCTAGCATTCTCGTCCTGATGCAGCCTTTGCTGGTATTTAGTCTGTAGCTCCTCGAGTTGAGTCTGGAGGTCCATTACTTTAGCAGTCATTTCCTCTTCACGAGCCTTTAGGATAAAAAAAAATAGTGTTAATGAACATATCAAAAAAACCACATTGTAGAGAGGCAATGCAGTATATGGAAAACCACCTCTGAAGGAGAAACATATACCTGAACATTTTTGGAGGCACAAACCACTGCTTCTATAATCACTCATGACTGTGCTCTAAACATCTTTCATGTCCCACTTTAAACACCAAGCTCGCTACTCCTACAATATCACTGTTCCCTCTCTGTCCCCACCCATAAAGCCCATTGAACAGTTTCTTTCCCCTTAAGCTAGGGTTCTTAGGCTTGAACAACTAGCAGGTGTTTGCCTGTGTGGTGACGGAACTTGGACACAGAGCCTGTGTGTTAGGACTCTGCACTCTTCCATATTAGGATTTGATTTCCAGAAAATAGCCGTTAACATAAACTAGTAGATGGGTGCCTCAGTGGCGCAGTTGGTTAAGCATCCAACTCTTGATCTTGGCTCAGGTCATGATCTCATGGTTTGTGAGTTCAAGCCATGAGCTGGGCTCTGCACTGACAGCGTGGAGCCTGCTTGGGATTCTCTCTCTCTGCCCTGCCCTTCCCCTGCTCATGCTCTCTTCCTTTCTCTCAAACAAACAAACAAACAAACAAACATACGTACTTATGATGGTGTGGAGCCTGCTTCAGATTCTGTCTCTCCTCTCTGCCCTTCCTACACTTTGCTCTCTCTCTCTCTCAAATAAATAAACCTAAAAGAATTATAAACTAGTAGATAGTTTTAGGTACAGCACTGCTCAACCAGCTAGTAAGGTACTGATCACAAGAAGTTGTGAAGGTTTTCCCCAGCCCTTTGGATAAGCTGTGAAAATCAAGAAATGATTCTTTGTCCTGGTTCAGTATACCTGCACATCTATACATGTGCCTCCAAATAACACCAGTGGTTCTTTGGGCTAAAATGTTCAACTAAAGTCTATTTAAAAAAATTAGCTATTGTCCAACATATTAGTAACCATGCAATGTCTCCATTGCCCTGAACTTTCAAAACAAAACAAAACAAAACAAAAAACCCCAAAACAAAACAAAACAAAAAGCCAGATAAAGACCAAAAAGTATATGTGACCTATTGGTCCAAAAATACTACCTAGAAAATTTGGTATTCAAATCATTCTCTCTTCTGTTTTGATTGCCTCGTAAAGGCAACTGTCCATTCTCCATTTCTTCATTTGTCTTGATAACTGCCTGACTTATTGTACAGAGCAGTCCAGACCTCTTCTTGCTCTTATAAACCTTGCAATAATCTTTGTGCCAAAAGAACACTTGGAATTGGAATATTGATCAGATTTGAGTAATGAGGACAGGATAAGTGTTTCCTAAGTAAGAAACTAAACAGGAAAAGCAGCAACAAATGGGTCTGACTTAACAGATGCTGACTTGACAGGATCATCATCCTCAAAAACAAACAAAAAGAAATAGACCTCCTGGAACAAAAGAAGGCAATGAACCATGGGGACACTTGGAAAATTTACTTTTAAATGCCACTTGTCATGAAAAAGGATGAACCCCTCCAAGAAACATAAGCAGAGCTAGCTAGTAACCAGCCCCCTTAGACATCTCCCCACTGAGGCTCATCTGAACCTGGGCTCCACCCCTAAAACACCAGCAACTGCACACTCTTGTCAATGTTATTGCCCACGGTCTTGGTTTACCTTTTTTATTCTACCATGGCATATCCGGTGTGGACATCTACGTCAATGTGGTTTAGGCACCTTTGAAAGGATCACCTCTTGAGCTACTTATTCAGTTGGGCCCAGATTTTAATATGACAATTAGCTATGTCTGACATTTCCTTTGACAGCTGTGGGACATCAATCTACAGCAAGCCCTCTAAGAATTAGGAAAAGAATCCCATTTGTATTATTCTACTTTAAGAAACAATTTTGTTGGGGCGCCTGGGTGGCTTAGTCGGTTAAGCGTCCGACTTTCGCTTAGGTCATGATCTCGCGGTTCGTGGGTTCGAGCCCCGCGTCGGGCTCTGTGCTGACTGCCAGCACAGAGCCTGGAGTCTGTTTCAGTCTGTGACTCCCTCTCTCTCTGACTCTCCCCTGCTCATGCTGTCTCTCTCTCTCTATCCTAGAAATAAATAAAACATTAAAATAAAAAATTACAAAAAAAAGAAACAATTTTGTAAATTCCTTTATAAAAGCTTTCTAGTCTCTTGGAGAAGGCAAAAAAAAACAAAACAAAAAAACAACAACAAAAAACAAACCCCCAAAAGTACTGTTTATTTCAAAGTAAAAACAAAAAAACTCATTAAATGGACCATTATTGCATATCGTGGAAATTATGTTTGAAAGATTAGTTATTATGCCAAAATCAAATCACTAAAACATAGTCCATGTCAAAAGGAAACCAGTTTTGTCTCATGCAGCCAAGCTATTTCCTCCCAGTGGGACTGCTTGGAGTTGGGACTAGGCTATGACTGAAGCTCACTTATGTGAGTACTCAATTCTTCCTTTGAGATGTCATCACTCCCTCTTCCCAAACGGATTCTTGCCTGCCGTACCACATGTCTCCTCTTTCAAATTCACCAAGTATCTGGTATGTGCCAAGTATGGGCTAGGTCCTCCAGACTAGAAATGAATAACAAAACCCTCCCCGCCAAATGCTTATAATCTAGGAGAAAGGACAGATACATTAATATTTTCCTACACACATATGTATGTATGACAAAAGTTACATGTTTTAAGTGAAGTAATGAATACAGATGAGTACCAAAAGAACACAGATGCAATTAATTCTATTTAAGGAGTTCAAAAACAACTGTAAGGGAAAACGGTATGATGCAAAAAAAAAAAAAAATTTTTTTTTTCAAAAAGCAAACTTCTGGGTAGAAAAGGGAAAAAATAAGAACACATTTCATTTTTGTTTCTGTTTACATAAGAAAATACCGGGGGGCGCCTGGGTGGCTTAGTCGGTTAAGCGTCCGACTTTCGCTTAGGTCATGATCTCACGGTTCGTGGGTTCGAGCCCCGCGTCAGGCTCTGTGCTGACTGCCAGCTCAGAGCCTGGAGCCTGTTTCAGTCTGTGACTCCCTCTCCCTCTGACCCTCCCCTGCTCATGCTGTCTCTCTCTCTCTCTCCTAGAAATAAATAAAAAATATTTAAAAAAAGAAAACACCAGAACATTATGAAACAAACTAATCATTGATTTCTGGTTCAAGATGGTGACATGGGAAGATCCTGAACTCACCTCTTCCCAGAGCTGCACTGAGTCTACAGCTACACATGAAACCATTTCCTCTTAGAAAAACAAAAAACAAAAGCCTGGCTGAGTGATGACCCCACATCAGGCAGGTGGGGAGAAAACCGCACCGCGGTGGATAGAAGGGGCTGAGATACAACCTCGCTCAAGTCCCATTGCTGGTGTTGCAACCCGCAGCTGGGAAGAAACTCAAAGCCCGACTCTCCCTGACGACGGAGGGGTTTGAAATCCACTGGCATCCCAACTTTTAGACATACACTTGAGAGACAATCCCCCAATACATCTAACTTTGAAAACCAAGAGGGCTCACATCCCGAGACCCACAAAACTGCAGTGATCTGAGGAACCACTCTTAAAGGACTCACCAAGGTACCTGGACTCATACCCATCCCAGGGCCCAGCTCATAGGCAGACAACTGCATCCAGACTTATAGTGAAGGAGACTCACTTGCTTACATTAAAGCATCTGCCTGAAGGGCAGACATCTAATTTAACACACACGTCTAGGGGCCTGCTAGAACACTGTCTGGGGACACAGACTGGCAGGTGCTGTTTTTGCATGCTCCCTTTGACATGTTCCAGAGCACCAGTCTCTCCCAGAAGGGAGCTTTTACACGCATCTGGTGCCTGGATTTTTTGCACCTGCCAAGCTAGGGGACACCTGACCACACTGCTCTTGAGGTCAGGGGAGATCGAGTACCTAGTCTCAGGGGACTGTAATAGTCAGTGTCACCCAGAAAGGATCCTCATCTGGTGTCCCAATTTTTACAGCTGCTGCCACAGAGCACTGCTACATTTCCTGGTTCTGGACATTGGTCACAGATCCTTCAGAAATGTACAGGAAAAAGTTCTTAAGTAGCTACCACCCGAAGGGCACAGCAAGAGGCAACAGACCCAGGAGTTCAGAGTTTCTGTGAAGGAGGACTACTGGCTCATCATCATGACTGTGGCCTAAGGAGAAGTCTTCTGCTTAAACAAGCACGTAAGGGCAGAATGTAATCTTTTCCTTGAGCCATCTTTGAGCTCACTCTCCGCCACACTCCAGAACACCTGTCTCCTAGAGGAGACATGTCTGGTGGCTTGGTTTTTGCCACTACTGCCCAAGGGACACCCCTTGATCACCAGGCCCTGGTGGCTGGGACAGCTTGCATTTGTGGATCCCAGGGGACTATGGCAATTGGAGAGATGGTTCTTGGCAGACTACCAGCCCAAAGGCACTGCACAGACAGTGGACTAAAGTACACCCTGAAATCTTACTGTGAGGGATGCCTCTTTGCTTGTCCTGGAGCTCTGGCCTGAGGTGGAGACTTCAGGTCTGGCTCACATCTGGTGGCCTGTGTGGAGCTGCTCTCAAGGAACACAGGCTGTGGGTATCATCATGGTGCTCCCCTTCCCTCTGCCTTGCTCTAGCTTGCTAGTATCACCCAGAAAAGGGCTTATACACTCATTCGGAACCCTGATTTTTGGGACTGCCGCCCAGGGTACACCTCCAGATTGCCTACCTCTGGTGACCAGCAGGGCTTACACTTGCTTACAGTCCCAGAGGACTGTATATGTTTGTATACTTTTATTTAATTTTTAAAAAATTTTTAAATTAACGTTTATTTATTTTTGAGAAACAGAGTATGAGCAGGAGAGGGGCAGAGAGAGAGAAAGACACAGAATTTGAAGAAGGTTCCAGGCTTTAAGCTATCAGCAGTGAGCCCGATGTGGAGCTTGAACCCATGAACTGTGAGATCATAACCTGGGCCAAAGTCGGATGCTTAACCGACT